ATTCGTTTTTTTATTGATAAATTTCCATTTTGTACAATTAAAGAAAATGAATGCCAGATAAGCTTTAGATGAACTACAGAACCAATTTTCTGCTGCACAGTTTGAAGACTTTGCCAGTTCTGGAGAAGATAGACTTGATGTCCGTTGGTACCTTAAAAAGAATAAAAGCTGATGTAACAACCAAAGGTGTAGAATCAAGAGTTTTATGTGCTATTCCCGTAATTCCACACAGTAATGCGAGTCGAGAGTCTTCATGTTTGTGAGAAAAACAAAACTATGTTTTGATCTTCAAATTCACCAAAAACTCTAGAAAACATTTTTAAGCTAACTTATGAGGAAAATAATTGTTATACCGGAAATTTTCCAAAGAATTTTTGGCTAAGGGCAAAAAATGCACTCTAAATTCATTGATAACTTTTTTTGTGTAACATGTTTTTTTTTGTTTCCTAATAAATTTTTTAGTACTACTTAATGAGATTTACTAATATAAGTACAATTTTCTTTTTTCTATTATATATGTTATTTTTTAATATCAATGTTCTTCTTAGAGAATCTTCTGAATTTGGGGGAGAAATCTTCTGAATTTTTATCTTTAGAGGTTGGCAGGTATGAGAATGTATGGAAATAAATCTCAACAACAAAGCTGACTTTGGTATCATTGCCACTCACAGTCATTCATTTATGGGTTAATGGTCCTTAATGCAGATGGTTACTTTCAGGTGCAGCTATAAGTGGGTGGGGCACTAAAGTTTCACCATAGGTTGTACGGGTTTAGTCTCACTGTTCTAAGAGCTGCCAGTATATCAGCATGGGGAAAATTCCTCAAGATTATCAGCCGACATGCCCAGAAGAATATTAGGTGTAATCAAAGCTAAAGATGGACTGGTATGGATGAGGAGCATCTCTGACAATTTGGACACAGTGTATATTTCCGTCATCATTTGATTAAATTTATGTCAGCAGGTATCTGTTAAAATATGTACAGTACAAAGTCTAAAATCCAGATGTCCAATATCCTATCCATAATGATCTAAAATTTGGGCCTTCATATTAGTAACAATTTTCTTTGTATGCTTTATGCATATGCATTTGATATTTTTTCATAATAAAACATGTGAAAAGTCCAAATTCTAAATTTAACTTTGGAATTTGTTAAATAAAAATATATCCGCATTGAAGAAGTAATAATTTATTAGCATAAATCTGTATGATCAATAATTTGGCTCGATGGCCTTTTTTCTTGACATGTATCTCAAACTAAAATATTCTACATTGAAATTACTTATAACTTTTTGCTTTCATCCCCACGAAGTTATCCACACAGCAGCTTGAAAAATGACTCATGAGGATGTCAGCAATTTATTAAAAAATATTGTTTATTGAATACCAAAGAGCATGGTAACCTTTTTATGTCAATAATCGGGTTTTAACAAAAGTTTTTTACCACCACAAATATTGTCTGCGCAAGCAGTCTGTGCTGGCATGTTTAATCATATTTTGTGAAACGATTTTTCCTATTTGAAAGAAAGAGACATGCATTAGAACAATCTGTTGTGAAATTTGTAAAAAAATATCATTAAGGTATCTGAAGTGGAAATGTCATGCTGCCAAATTAAAACCATCATTTACTTCTAGTTCTGTTGCAAAAAGTCAGCTACAGAATGTCACCAAATCATGTGTATAGCTTTAGGTACTAATGCTGTATCATATGACACTCTGAAAGTGTAGTACCGAAAGTTTAAAAACAAGCACTATGACATTCAAGAAGCAGAGTGCTCTGGCCGGCCTACTGATGTTGATGAGGCTTGCCTGCGAGAACTTGTGTAAGAAAACCACTCAAGAGCTTGCTAAGGAGTTAGACATTAGTGGCATGTCCGTTAATCGCACTCTGCATCACATAAACGTGATGTACATGTTCAATTGTTGGCTGCTACATGAGCTGACTGAAGCAGATGAGGACAGACATGCTCAGGTCTGTACTGATCTGCTGGAATATCAACACCGTAACAAAATTCTGGACCGTATCATCACTTTTGAGGAAAAGTTGATTTATTTCAACAACACAGGCCAAAAAGGAAGTTGGTCAGTGCCTGGTGAGCCCTTTGGCAGCATTGCAAAGTGCAATTTGACTAACAAAAAGATCATGCTTTGTATCTGGTGGGATGGCCATGGTATTGTTCCCAAAGGAGTATCTGGAAAATTGTAAAATCTTTTACAGTAAGGTTTACAGTGAGATGCAAGTCCAGGTTGATACTGCTGTCAAGGAAAAATGTCAAACTGAGTTCCGGCACAAAAAGGTAATGTTCCATCAAGATAATGTGAAGACCAGCATGTGTCTGCATTCACTGGCTGGACTCTGTATGGACTCGAATGGGATCTTTTGCCACACCCACCATATAGCCCCAACATTGCTCCTTCGGACTTCTACCTTTTTTCATACCTTCAGCTTCATCTTACTGGTGCTGTCTTCCATTCTGCACAGGATATCTAAAATGAGGTTGATCTGTTTTTGGATTCAAGGGAATTTGATGCAAAATTTTTAGGATTTAGGAACCTGCACAGACTGTACTGAGCCACAAATAATTTAGTGCTGGCCTTTAAGCATATGTGTGACTTCCATTTATTTGGGACTCATAGAAGCCTAAAGCATACACTGGAAATAGGCATAATCACAATAAATAACTAAATTAGTATGATTCAAGCTTAACTTTGTAGTGTGTGATAAAAGCAAGACAAAAGTTAGTGGACCAACATCTCTTTCCTCATACGTTGCTAGTAGTGTGTAGCCGATGTTAGCTAAGCTTAGCTTGATGATGCTAGCTGCGAATTTGAGTGCTTTCAGATATCACAAATAAAAGGTGGAATTTTCGAAAAAGTGTGGAGAAGTAGTAAAAAATAAAGATGATGTAACAGAAGATTTTCATTGCAATGACAGTGCCAAAGTCACCAGTTAATTAAAGAAAGGCAAAATATGTAGCATGGATCAAAATCCTGAAAATATCGCTACCGAAAGTGAAGAAATTGAATTCTGGGTAACCTCTCCAAGAATTTATATTGACAATTTAATGTGAATTCTTCAAGTGGCAATTACAGGACTTGGACAATGGAATGGAGCAAGAAATTATGTGTGCTTATAGAATTAAAAAGAAAGTATTGGCACATGAGCAAGAAATTATGTCTGTCTATTGAATCAAAGAAAAAGTGTTAGTGCATGAGCGAGAAATTATGTCTTTCTATAGAATTAACGAGGAAGTATTAGCACAAAAATTAACACAACTTACACTGAAAGAAATGTTTAATAAAACAAACAAATAAATGTTGAGTTTTTTTTTTTTTTTTCCAAGTTTTGCTTGCCTTATGGTCATAAATGTTTCATTATTTCATGTTTTTAATTTAATAATTTCTACATGTTAGCTTAGTAGATTTAAGCTGGTGATCTAATATGTGTAATAATCCCAAATCTGGAATTGCTTAAGTCCTGACAAGTCCGGATCTTTAACTTTATACAGCGTACCTTTGTTTTTACAGATTTTACTCAAGCTCTTTTTTAACATCAGTAGTGTATAATTTTTTAATTCTGATTTTAATTTTATATCTAATAACCATTAAATGTTTTTTCAGGTAATACTGATGTAATAACTACCATGCTTAATTCTGAATCCGAAGAGACCTTGTGAATGAAACATGAGTGTTGAAGGTGAAACATGCACTGAGGCTGTTGAACAGAAATTAGTGTCTCTTTCTCCAAGCATGCAAAGTGATTTATCGACTGATGGTGATGCAAGTGTGTTGCAAAACAGTACAGTACCAAATGATCAGTCATCAATTACCTCTTTCTCTTCACTTACCACCAGCAATGAACCAAAGGCTAAGAAACGGCGTAAACAGAGTAACCCTTTAAAAATCCAAAATGCTACCTCTCCAAAGTTTGAATTATCCACATATGATTTTGTTGAACAGACTGAAAATGAGGCAAATCAACCAGTTTCATATACATTTGAAGAAGGTGTGTTGAATCAAAACCATGTGGGGGATAAATGCAAGACTCCTGACTCAGCTTCCCCCAAAGTTCTTGAAAAAGGAGCCCTTTCTCGTGTCACCAATGCCTTATACAACAGTAAAATCCAAGAAGTTGTAAAGGTGAACAAACCAGGTAATAAAAGCAAAGAATCATCCTTGCAATCGCTTACAGACATAAGTTCTCCGGAATCTAGCGAAGAAGTCATTTCTGCTAATGAATTAAAAAATGCTATGCATATTTCATATCCACAGATGCCTCCCCTTCTTCCCATTAATCCAGTAGATATTGCCAACGATGCAACAAAACTTTCCAACTTGTACCCATTTAATGAATTCCCGTCTCCTGTGCAACAAGGAAGTGTGAGTCTCCCAATCTCCCATCGCAGTTTCATAACGTCCAGTGGTGTCCGTGTGTTCAATCCAGAAGCATATTGTGAATTGTGTGAAAAGGAATTTTGCAATAAATATTTCCTCAAAACTCATAAAGCAAATAAACATGGCATTTGTACTTCTGATAATAATACTGGTGGTTACAGTTACAGAGTCTCATACAAAAGTATGCACATGAATCCTCAGGCTACCCAGCAGGCCATAAGCCAAATGTGCGAAAATGGTGCTACGTTTGGGTCTGCTGATTCATACTGCAATATATGCCAGAAATACTTCTGCAACAAATATTTCCTTAAAAAGCATCGCCAAAACATTCATGGAATTCAAGAAAACCAAGATACATCTAGTATTCCAAGTAGTATCCACGTGCCTGTAATATCATCACCTTTACCTTTAGTTCGGTCAGTAAGTCAGGAGTCTAAGTCCATGGAAAATTCTTCCGGACCTACAACCAAAGAAGAGGAGTCTAAAATTAATGTTAGTCTAGAAAATATAAAAAATTCTTTAAGTTGCAATGCATCTCTTGTAAATGGTTCTAGTCCTCACACAGCTTCTCATAAGAATGTCTTAAATGTCAGTCTCAACCAGAAAGAAAAAAAGAATGAAAAGTTTTTATGTGAACTTTGCAATATAGAGTTCTGCGACAAATGCTACCTCGATTCTCACAAGCAGAACAAGCATGGACCAATTAAAATACCAGGTACAGAATTTCCTGAATTTTCTGAAGTGGGTAAAATAGAAAGTGGGGAAAAGTCAAGCCCTACTGATGATACTGATGAACTCAAAGATAACTTCAAAGGTCAAATGTGTGCACCATGCATGAAGAATTTTACAAGTGCTGAATCATTTCAAAAACATATGTTAGAGATTCATAGTGCTTCTCTAAAGGAAGAAGATGAAACTTCTAGAATGTCAGATACTATAAGTAAAAAAAATGGACAAAATTTTGAAAAAGATTTATCTCATGTTGTTGAAAAATGTTCTGCTATGCAAGAAATTGAAAATAGCAATAGTTCCAGCGATTCTGGGTCATTTGTTTGTGGCTTGTGTTTTGCAAAACTGAAAGATAAAAGTAATTACATGATCCATATGGAGACTGAACATGGTTTTCTCGGAACTTCAGTATCTGAGGAAACTGGTCATTCTCAAGAGAACAGTCTACAGTGTGAAGCCTGCTCAGAACAGTTTCCAGATCGCCTTACATTCTTGTCACATAAATTGAAAAGTCATGGCATAATATCACCAGGTTTAGAAGCTTTAGCCGATAGTATTGAAAATGGAGACTTAACGTATTTTTCTGCTGGGAAACAGAAAAGTAGTAACAGCAGTTTTTGCCAGATTTGCAATAAGGAATTATGTAATAAATATTTTATGAAAACGCATATGATGAAAATGCATGGAATTGATGTTGATAAAATCCAGCAAGAAAAATGGTCAGCGCTTTCAGGTGGTGTATATTGTGACATTTGTCACAAATTTTTATGCAGTAAGTATTTTTTAAAGATTCACAAACAAAATGTTCATGGAATTATTGAAGATTCCTCCAAGTTGGCCGTGATTGAATCTCCAATGCCTAATGTGATAGGAATTGCTGAAAAAAAATCAGAAAGGCTGTCTGGAAATTATTCTCAAGGAGTCAAATTTAATAGTCAAAATGATCATGTTAGTTCTCAGGAAGATTCAATGAAGCGTGGTAGTAATAATATGTTCTCTTGCGATATTTGTGGCCAAGAGTTCTTAAGTAAGCTATTGCTGCAAGTACATTTAGTAAATAAACATGTGAAATGTAATGAATCTAAGTCTTCTCCCAATATGGCTATTAGCTCGTATTCTCAATCAGCTGAGGAGTCGAAAGATGCCCTTAAATCTGGAATCTTGCCATGTTCTTGTTGTTCTTATGTAAATATAGATAGTTCAAATACCTCTCACATCAGTAGTTCAGAATTTAAAATAGTGTTGTGCATTATATGTAATATGACGTATCATCAAAGTGAATATCACACTCATCATTTGACCCATGGAACTTCTCTACCAGTTGGAAAAAAGCTTCCAAACTTTGAGAATGGTGTACATGAACTAGGCTTTGGATTTAATGTCTCAGGGAACAATGCATTTGATCCAAATAACAAAAATAAGTTGCACCCTCGCAAGTTCAAAAGATTTCGATGCAGTAAGTGTGACAAAACATTTCGAACCAAAATCAAATGTCTTCATCATATTCAAGTTATGCATAAAAGTAAAAAAAGCCTTTCAAATCCATGTGACCAACAGCACCCATCCAAAAAAAGTTATCTGAGCAATGTTGGTTGTAAAAAAAATTCAGAGAACGAAGGCACGGGTTCTGGAGGCATAGAAAATTGTTCTAATTCGCTCCATGGTGGGGTAGAAGCGGAAAAAAAGTCATGTCATATGAATTCCAATTTCCATGAAACTTCAGCACCATTGCCTGTGCCATACATTTTGCCTAAGAACTCTGATGTGATTATGCAGCCTTTTCATCTTTCAGAACCAAAACCGGAAGGAATAACAAAGCAAGACATATTTGTTCCATCGTTAGTTTATCTTCCTGTAAGTCAAAAAGTATCTGAGCCGCTTACTGTTGCGTTTACTTTAACTCCGGCTTAAAAAAGATGCAAAGTTTTATTTCTCCTCATTCTGGCATTTGAATATTGCCATCTCATGGTGTTTTAAATTTTTGTGTTTGTTTATGTTATGGTAATTATGTTTGTTTTCATGTGTGATAGAGCAAGAGCTGCTGTCTTATTTCAATGTATATGTAATATGATTTAATACTGGTTAATTATAGATTTAGGCCAATGTATTGTAATTACCTGTTAGACATCTTGCCGAATATTTAGCCTGTTATTAGTACCTAAATATTGATTCCTATTTGGCCAAATTTTGGTATAAATGACAAAGAAAGTTTAGTGATGTTATCTTTTATCATTTTACAGATTGTATTATTCATATATGTCATACATTTATATACCTCGGAATCATATATTTGGCCCAAATATTCATTGTCATCATCATTTGAAATATCATTTGCATTTTTGATTTTAAAAAAATGTGGTCGAATGTGTTATATTAATACTGATCTGTTTTCATTATTTGACTGACGATAATTTCATTTTTTCAGATTGTGCAAAACAATTTCATAAAAGTATGTAAATATTATTAATTATATCAGGAGTACATTTACATGTATTATGTAATAATGTATGTTTTAGCTCTAAGCTATTGGCATAAATATATTAAGCTTCTTAATTTTATTTAGGATTTTATAAAAATTAAGAAGAAATAGAGGCTGTGTTTTTAGCTTACTGCAAAAACATGCAACTCCTTGACTCCTTTGTTTCTGTGCACTACTAAAGTCACTGCATACGTTTTCTTTACCTGGTGTTATCAGAACTATTTCAAGGTCCAAAGTTATCATTATATGCCTAAGTTTTTAATGAATTTATTATCACTGATCTATTTTTGTATTGCATTAAAAATTTTAACTCGTTTTGGGCTATACTTTTAAAATAAAATTAAGTTGATCATTACTATTCTGCATATTAAGAATATAAATTTTTTTAATTATATTGGTTAACTGTTTCTCAGGCTGTTGAGCATTTAAGGTTATTCAGTAGCATTTTATTATGTGGAAGAAAAAAAAAAAAAACTCGGGAATTTTATATTGTGCTGTTTAGTTTCTTTATAGCTTAACAGTGTTACACGATCTTTTAAAACAATCTGCATAAAAATTCCTCTTCCAAAGTATTTGGCTTGTATAGATAAGATAATGGTTAATTAGGTAAGCAGTGGCTATTTGTTTTAAGAAGGATGCTATCATGAAGGACTTCACAAAAGTAACTAGTTTATTATCATAATGTTGCATATGCAAAAACACTTAAAATGTTATGTGGTCATTCTGCTGAGAATTGAATTTTTTTTATTTGAAAACATGCAATCTCCCCGTGCACCACAGATGTACAACATAGGGCTTACAGAAGTAAGTTAACTAAAACTTTAAAAGTTGCATGCATAAATAAAACAAATAAAAGCAGAGAACAGCAGTCTGGATTTCACGAAAACAGGTAAGTTCACTAGCCAAGTCACTCCAAACATTTTCAAATCGTTCTGCAAGCATAATCTAGGGCCATCAAATGTAGGGCATGAGAAAATCAAATGTTCCACACCTTGAGGTACTCTTTTTGAATGGTTTAATCTTAGATTGAAATGAAACAGGTAACGAAAATTTACCATGACCAGATAAAAACTGAGAAACTTTAAAATTATAGAGAGGAAAGACTTAGAATGCAGTCTATGGTAAATAGAAGGAAAGAACTTTTGGTGACCTCACCATTATAAGATGAAATATATGCCTCATTCCACTTAGCTAAAAGCCTCTTATAATGAAAGGACTTCCAATAAATAGGTCTTTGGAATACTAATGTTGATATCAATGGGTAAATTTAAGCTAAGAAATCAGTTTTTTTCTTTTCCATAGAAACTGTAAATTGCACTTGAGGTGGAAATGTCAGTTTAGTATTTATAATTATCATTCAGTTGGTAGTAAATCCTAGAATGAAATTTTGTTTTGAAAAATCAAATTGAATTGATATTGTTGTTTCTGATTCTCCTTATCTGAGCCTACAGCTAGATCAGGTCCATTAATTTCATTGTTTCCAAGAAGCAAGGGTCATGCTTTATATTGGCTTAAGCATTGGACACCTTATGGGGGGTAGTGAGTTCATGCACCTTTGTCCCAATTTTGACCAAGAATCCTCTAAGGGATGGGACCAAGAGTCTTCTCCTACCACCGATGTGTCAACAGAACATTTAGTTGAAAAATAGTGACCCCATGCTACAAAAACATTACACACTTGAAATTCTATAGTGAGATTTCCATATGGAAACAGGGCCCACCAGCGGCCGAGCGGTAAAGTCGCTGAACACTGGTAGTTCGGTTCGAGGTTCGAATCCCGCGAACGGGCTGGCTGCATGGGTGTTTTCGTGGTTTTCCCCATGTGTAACGTGTATACGAGCCAGTTTCCCTTAGAAAGTCCTCCCCTTAGGCAGATAGCCCTAGTGTGCTTTGCCATAATTAAATACACCACACCACCATATGGAAACAGATACATCTCAGGAACTATTTACAAACCCTCAAATATAGGAACTGTTTTCAAAGCGTCAAGTGTAGCCAGCTGCTGAGACTTGGATGAAATTAAACAGCTACAGGACAAATTTGTGTTCTGCATTTTTAAAAATTTTTTTTTATGTTTATAATTTTAATCAAGGTGATAAAATTCAAACTGTTACAGGTTTATTCACTCACACTTTGTTCAGAGGAAAACTTTTTTTTTTTTTTTTTTTTTTTTTTTTTTTACGAAAGGTATGTTCATTTGAATAGCTTCAGTTCTTACAAGCAGTGAGTATATATATATGTATGATACTGTTTTTCTTTATAATTTTTGTGATCTTGAACTGGTTCTGATTGTATTAGTTTTTATCATTTTGCTTTAAATTATACTTGAGCATGTAATTGTATCATGTGCATTGTAAATCATGCATTCTTTTTAACCTCAGAATACACAGTTTAATATGGCCACAAATGAAAAGTACATTCAAACTAACTTTTCTGGATTCCTAACTAGTTGGCCATTATATATATATATATACCTCAAAACATTTTTAGTATTTACTGTTGATTACTTAAGTGAAAGTTTATCAAAATTTTGTACTTTTTTGTCTAATTTAAGTTTTCTGTATACTTCTCTATCGTTTGTATTAATCTGAAGGGGGAGAACTGTGTAAAATATGTTTGTTGTTAAATATTTAAGATACTTTTTAGTTCTTGGTATTTTATGGCTGGGAAATATAAATTTATGCATTTTAAAAGTTTTATTTAATTCAAGTTATGAAAGCCATAAGCAATATCAGTGTTATTCCTTGTAATGATCTAATGTCCTAACTACTGATGTACAAATTATTTTATTCTACCTCTAATTATAGTTTAATTATGGTTATTGGTATGTAGTATTGCAATTTAACCTTATAAGATTTTTCGTTTTTTTTTAATATTTAATGAGACAATAATCAAAACCATTTTGAAAATGAATTTTCTATTTATATGTATACATTTTGCTTTTATTTGCAATTTTATGCATCATTCAAATATTTTTTTAGGAAAACTTTAAATAGATTTTAGTTTGTAAATTTGTCATCAAATAGTCATAGCCTCATGATAACTCCAATATGGTGAATGCTGTACAATATGAATATTGATTTTATAAATTTTTTATTTTTACTTATTTTTTCATGTATACAAATTTCATTAAAAAAAAATCTAAGGTAATGTAAACTTTGCACCAAGTCCCATCATTGGAATTATTTAAAATGTGGCTTAAAATAATGTGTTTAAGAATACCTGTTTTAACTTACCAATAAATATCTTAATATAATGGTAGTTTATACTAGTAGGTAAAAATGAGGTGTATATGCACATTAAAATACTTGCCACTTTTATTATTTTAACTATGTAAATTTCCTTTTTAAAACATGGAATTTTAGTGTAATAATGCCAGATTTAAACATTAGGTTGCTGTTGTTATTAGAGGGTTCCTACACTCCCGAAAATTCAGGGAAGTAAAAAATGACTAGGCAAAGTCAGGGTAAATAGAAACCATTTCCCCAAAAGTCAGAGACATTAAAAAAAGAAAAAAGTGTAGTTCAATTCTTTCAAGTAATAAAAACTTCTTATTTTTGATAGTACAAATTAAACAAAAATTACCACTTCTGAAAACAAAGGCAATGGAGAACTCCTATAATCTTTGATTTTCTGACGGAAAATATTTTAACCTCATGTCTGATACAGTTTTATCAACCCATAAGTCACTTTTCCACCTATTAGTGACTTCTTTTTTTTTTTTTTTTTTTTTTTTTTCTTTTCATTTAGAGGTGTACTTATTCTGTTATTTTTCTTTCTAGAAGTGTAATTGCTTCTCAAAAATAAATGTGTAGGTAAGAAGTCATTACACCGTGTAGATGCACATTAGAATAAATAACTATATTAATTATTTCCCCAATTTCTAATAATCTTAAGCTCCTGAGTTTTGGTACATAACAATATTTATTGATTTGCTATTATAAACATTTTTTTGCAAAATAAATAGTTTTCCTCCCAGAATTGATGTTTTTTAAAAACTTTTATGTAATTTTTTTAACAATTTAAGTATATTCCTTTCATTTTCTTTATTGTGATAAGTAAGGTAAATTAAATTTTTATAATGTTTTTAATTATTGGATTATTTTGTGGCAAATGTATAAAGTTTTTAAGTTGCTTATACTGAATTTGAAGCCAAATTCATTATTTGATCTGGGAAATTAAAAGCTGAATTTCAGTGGGAAATCTGAGTGAATAATCGAGAGATATTTTTCCTGCTTTTAAAATAAGTTATTAACTGTAATTTGTATTCAGACAATTTATATATTTAACAATGTATTATGATAAAATGCAACATTGTCATATGCCAAAAATCTCTAGTTAACATAATTGCTATTAACTATCTTATGTTTACTGGGTTTCTCAGGAATGTCATGCTATATTTAGAATCAAGATTATGTTAATAATTTTCATAGATTTTTACTGACAGACTCAGTGACTGAAATATGGATTTGTATACTCTTAACCTGTAACTTTTTATTAGCAACTTACTGACTTTTTTCTGTGATTACATGCAGCATACGTAAAGCACTGTATATAAACAGTGGCTCTGATTATAAATCTCCAAATTCTTAGGCTTCCCATATGCAGCATACCTGTCTTATAGGCATAATTTTTATGTAAAAAATGTTTCTATAATGTGTTGAGCTCTTTCCATGTAGAAAAGAGTAATTAATTACAAAATGTATGTAATTTCACTGAAATGTTAGTAAGATTTTGCTATTAATTAGCTAAAAATTATTAATTTTTAATGTGTATGGATACATATATCTTAAAGCAATTGCTTGAGATGTGCTGATATGAATGGCTTAACTGTTTAAATTCCTGTACAATAGATTTAGTTTATAAGAAAAGAAAGTGACATACTACATCATTTTAGCAATACATTATGCTTTTTTTCTGCCCGCATTATTTACTCTAAATGTTCAATAAATTGGCTATGTACAAAATACTATAAATTTCCATCATATTTTTAATTTTAAGTAATATTAAAGTATATTTTTACAAATTTATAGTTAATGTAATTCAAATTTGCATTGTCGGTATTTTTATTGTTAAACTTTTAAGTCCTGTAGAAATTAATTTCCTGAGTTGTAGAGACATTATATCAACTTATGAGATTTTTGTTATTTGGTACCAATTAGTTTATAATTTAATACATTTTCTTTTCGTTAATGATGCAAATGTCATCTTAATGCATGGAAATTTATGAAAACAGAGTCTAAACTATGCAATATATAAATTAAGTAATAAATGTTGTTTGACTACTGTTCTTCATAAGCAGATCCAAAATGCTGTGTTACTTAGATGGTTACTATTTATTTTCAAGATTAAAATAATATGTAGTCCTAATTGATTTAGTCTTAAATTTTGCTTTTCATTTTTATAGGTACAATGAACATTTTAAAATTTGTGTAAATGTAAATTTGTTCTGTTGAGTAAAACATTTCTAATATTTTCTATAAAATGAGAATTGCAATGGTTTAATTATGTAATTAATTATACATAGTCTATTGGGATAGCAGACAATTACAGTAAGATAGTTTTTAACTTTGAAGTATTTTAAGTTAATGAGACAAATGAAAAATTGACATGATGAAATAAAAGTAAAGAATCCGATCAACAAAGTATTATGAATATGGAAAAGTAGAATTTGCTTTTCATTAGATCTATAACGAAAATGTAAATGTTGTGAAGATGAATTAATAAAAATATTTGCTAAGATATCATAAATTGCCAATTTTATCTTAAAATATCTATTTCCCAGTAAAAATATTATAAAATTTTTCTGCTCTTGTATAAATTAATAATTTCTTTTCTTCAGCTTTGTCACTCGTTTAAGAATCCCAGGCTCCAGGCCACATCTTCAAACATAATTATGAATCCTGGATTGAGTCTTAAGAATTTCCACATCATGTGGACAATCTTAGTGAACTGTGCTTGTTAAATGCCCTTGTAAGAAATTTCATATCAACAGACTTGGAGATCATGTGTGCCAGCTTATGTTGCCTTTCTCTGGGTATGGTTTGCTTTAAGATAATTGGCATTAAGGGATTTATAGATACCCTAACAGTATGAGTAATAGTCTTTTTATGTTGCTATTAGGTA